TACAAGTGAAGCGAGTAGAGTTTGAAAACTTACTCAGATGAAGACAATTTCTCGATATTTGGTTATGTCTTTCTCAAAGCAGGGGAAAGAAGAAAAGGTGTTAGATGTGATATTCCTGAAAGTGAAGCAAGGCTCTGTTATTTAGGTAGGGTTGCTGTGAGAAGAAAAGTCCATCTTCAGGCCTCTCATTCTAAACCATGCAACACTGAATTAGGTTAATATTCATTTATTATTTCTGTGAAGTATCATAAAAAGAAATAGTGATGAAAAAATGGATCCCACTGTTCTACAAGCTATGCTGATACAGAAGAATAAGGTCTAATGTCAGAATATTCCTCTTCAATCTCCCTTAGGTTTTACTGATGGAGACAGACTCACATTTTTAGTGGGTTCAACATTGGGTTCATCTGGTGCCAGCTCCCCAATCTGTAGTGGCTTCAAGTACTTGCTCACCAGCCGCTTGTCAACATGGAACGCTACAAAGGCATCCTGCCAATGCACAGGAATAAAGGAAGAGATGAGGGGGAAAAAAAAAAAAAAGAACAACACTATATTATTAACCCCCATCCACCGTGCACACTTAACACTAGGGAGGAGCCACAGCAGCAGAGATAGCTGGCTCACTTTTCCAGCTCCTCAAGCTTTTCTTGGTCTTATTATTCTTACCCTTATCCTCCCTTCTCCTTACGAGACTGTCTTTCTGCTGGCCAGCGGGAGAGGCCTGACCCAGTATTGCAATTACTTTGGATATGTAGGTGCCACAACACAGAAGTGAATGAATGCCTAAAATGCAGGTTAGTCTCCTTGCCTTTCTTCTTTTCCCCATATAATTCTAGTGATTTTTCCTATCTCCTTCAGCTTTCAGATGCTCAAAAGACTTTTCTTTCAATTTCAAGTATTTATTTCAAATCTGCAATTTGTCAAAAGAGAAAGTTGCCTTTTAAATATGACTACTCACAAGAAAAATGCAGTTCTTGCTCTTCACAGACCAGGAGGAATTTTAACCTTTCATAAATACATCCTTTTTATGAGGCTGCATGACGTTTGCCAGTGTAGTCAGGCAAAGGCATCAAGACTTTTGTTATATTCAGGCTATGTATATATAGGAGGGAAACCACACTGCAAGAAGCAATACAAGTTCTGAAGGAGAAAGATAGGTGACAGCATTGAGCAGCCTTGCCCTAGGAGAGGGAGCTCTGGGTGGAAAACTCCACACAGCAAGGATTTGATCAAGGACCATGTCATACATGGAAATATTCATTTTTTTTCCTAATCCTTGGAGATATACAAAAGGAAATGAACGCAAGGATTCAGTGATGATGCTGCTGTTACCCAAGAATACTGATTTGATGAAGCTTTACCTGCTCTTCAGCATCCCTAGAGCAAAGTAAAAGCCCTTCCGATTAATTTTACTCGTATCCCTTGAGTTGCAGTTTCATATGTACTTTTAAAAAAGGAAAGGGAAAATAACGAGGCATTTTTCCACTGTGGTGCATGGTCTATTTAAGATGTACAAGTGTGAAGATATGTCAGCTGGTGTTGCACAAAATTGGCTGAGCTCTGACGAGGCTTAATGCGCTGGTCATGGCACCAACCAGTAAGAATCACTTCAGATTCCAGAAATAAACATCAGTATTTGCCAAATTTATCCATTGCCTGGGGTATTCCAGCATCCTCAGATGAAAGAAATCTGACCATGCTAAAAAGAGCACATGAATGATGGAAAATAAAGAAGGCAAAACATAGCATTTGAAATTAAAATTTAGTGGACTTGAAGTTTAGTTATTTTTACTTCCATGACCATCAAGACTTGCTAGATAAGACTGCTCTAAGAATTTGCCTTGGGTATTTTTTCAAAATACAGAGCAAGGAAACCAATTTACCACTATTTTCACACTTCCTACATGCATCAGAAGGCCACATCTGCAGGGAATTTTCCAAATGGTACGTGGGGGTGAATCCCCACAGCTCAACATTTAAAACAGCAGTTCAAAAGGAAAGGCAATGAAGGGGAGTTTTTTTAGAATCATAGAATCATTATGGTTAGAAAAGACCATTGAGATCGAGTCTAACCATAAGCCCTTCAACATCATGTCTGTTAAATCTGGTCCCTAAGTGCCTTATCTACACGTTTCTTGAACACTGCCAGGGATGGTGACTCCACCACATCCCTGGGCAGCCTGTTGCAATGTGTGACTACTCTTTCCATGTAGAAATTTTTCCTAATATCTAACCTGAACCTCCCTGGCACAACTTGTGGCCATTTCCTCTTGTCCTATTGGTACTTATCCTGGAGAAGAGATCCACCCCCTGCCTCACTACGACCTCCTTTCAGGTAGTTGTAGAGAGTGATAAGGTCTCCCATAAACCTCTTCTCCAAACTAAATAACCCCAGCTCCCTCAGCCGCTCCTCGTAAGGTCTGTTCTCCAATCCTATCACCAGCTTCGTTGCCCTTCTTTGACACATTTCAGCACCTCAATGTCTTTCTTGTAGTGAGAGGCCCCGAACTGAACAGTGTTCAAGGTGCGGCCTCAGCAGCTCCAAGTACAGGGGGACGATCATTTCCCTAGTCCTGCTGGCTATGTTGTTCCTGACATCAGCTCGGAGGCCACTGGCCTTCTTGGCCACCTGGGCTCACTGCTGGCTCATGTTCAGCTGGCTCTCAGCCAGCACCTCCAGCTTCTCTGCCACGCAGCTCTCCAGACACTCTGCCCCAAGCCTGTAGCGCTGCATGGGGTCGTTGTGACCAAAGTGCAGGACCCAGCACTCGGCCTTGTTGAACCATATACGGTTGGTCTCAAGCCCATCATTCCAGCCTGTCCTGAGCCTTCCTACCCTCAGGCAGATCAACTCTTCCTCCCAGCTTGGTGTTATCTGCAAATTTGCTGAGGGTGCCCTCAATTCCCTCATCCAGATCACTGATAAAGATGTTAAAGAGAACCAGCCCCAACACTGGCCCCTGGGGAACACCAGGACCTGCCTCTCGTTAACACCTGTTGACTGGGCCTGATCCCCTGGTTGTCACACACATGCTGTGTGTTCGCCCCCAAGACGATCTGCTCCATAACTTTCCCTAATGCTGAGGTCAGCCTGACAGTTCCCTGTTGACCATTCTTACCTATGCCATAACACGCTAGCAGTGGGACACTTGCTATTACTGACTTTCAAGCAGCCTTGTTCACCCACAGAAGGCTGATATGCAATAACTACAATATATATATATACACATATATATTTAAGAAAAACTACTGCTTGTGAAAGCAGGTGGTCTTTGCTTTCCCTGCACTATGCTGAGCAAGCAACACCTTTCTTTAAAGGTTTGTTTCTGCAGGCAACTGCAGTGGCTGCCCGGGCCATTTTCCATACCTGCAGCAGCATCCCTATAGCTATAAGCACTCACTGAAGCCATTAGAGCTCCTGCAAGAGGGATTTTGGTATGTAGAGACACACACCTCACACACACATGCACACCAACCCGC